TGGATTGGTAGAAACATTTCTGATTTGACTGAAATTGGAGATTCTGCCTATAGTGTGCAATCTGAGCTTCGTATCTGTTGATCTTTTTGGCTAGGTCTGTTGTTTGCTGCTTTATTATTTCCAGTGTTTCTTTCGTCTTCCTTGTTTCTAGGTGATATTTCTTTGTCAGGTATTCTTTTGTCTTCTTGTTCTTCGGCTTCTTTTCTTTCATCTGTTCTAGTTTGCTTGCATCTGATCTTAGCATGCTTTTTGTCTTCTTGTTCTTCGGCTTCTTTTCTTTCATCTGTTCTAGTTTGCTTGCATCTGATCTTAGCATGCTTTTTGTCTTCTTGTTCTTCGGCTTCTTTTCTTTCATCTGTTCTAGTTTGCTTGCATCTGATCTTAGCATGCTAAGCTTCAATGCAGGCAACCTTATTCTGTTGCCTTTGTGCGGTTCTAGATGCTCAGTCTCTGGTTCAGTTCCTCTTGTTTTTTAGTTAGAGGGCTTTGTTCTTTCTGAGGAGAAGGCAGAGGAGATGGTATCTGATTTGGGAATGAGAACGATTTAATAGTGATGCTGGCTTCCTCTGCTACTGACTTCCCCTGGATTGTCTCTACTGTCTGAGCTACTTCTGGAAAGGCTTCAGTTTCTTCGCCCTGGGTAGTCCTTTGCAGTTCTTCTAATTCTACTTCTTTGAATACTTTATTTCATATTATAAATTGACGTTCATCTACTAGCCTCTGTTCTGTTATTTCTGATTCTGGATGTTGTTCTTTCCAGAACTGTTGCATTCTTTTCAGATATCCTCTTCTTGTTGGACTTGATTTGTTTGTTTATTTATTTATTTATTTATTTATTTAGCAAATTTCTCACCGCCCATCTCACTGTGAGGTGACTCTCGGCGGTTTACAGTAAAAATAGAATAAATATTGAATAAAATAGATAAATATTAATTAATTAATTAAAATATGTTAAAAACACTTCCTTATAATGCTTCCAAGAGGCAGATATTAATTAGATGTTAATAAACTCAGGGAGCATTGCCATCCCTGGGATGGATTGTATCTTTCCTCGCCCCAGGCAAGTTGGCACAGCCAAATCAGTCCTGTAGCTCACTTGTCACCAGATGTCCAGGAACTAGAACACCTACTGCGGTCCTTGTCGACCCGAGTGATGACCGGTTCTGTTGGCCAAAAGATGGCGATATTTCCCGATGTGTGAGTCCAATAAACACACGGGTTGGAGTGAATAAGCTTTTTATTGAAGTATTTCAGCAAACAGGGCTCCTGCCTCTAAAGGAGCAAGAGCCCCTTGCCTTGAGTGGCAAAGTCTTTTATTAACCGCTATAAGTAACAAAATTACAAACTTTCCATCAATCACAACACCGCACAGTTGCAGTAACAACCTGTTGCATAACAGCCCTTCTTTACTTCCTTATCAAGGTCTCCACCCTAGGGCGTGGAATTACCTCACCAGGGGAGGGAAACTTACTAATATAATAAGCTAAAGGTCAGGAAAGTTCAGCTACTCTTATCTACACGCATGCGCCATTGAGGCAACCCCTTTCTATCTCACCTCAAACTGGTATCATCTGATTTTTGCACTTTTTTTTTTTTTTTTTTTGGCACAAATAGCTTCCTCGGACCTAACTTGAGGTAGTTTCAACACACTTCCAATTTATCTCACAATATTCACACACACACAATCCATCTTTTCCTGAGTCCTTGCCATCAATCCGGTATAGGTTTCTGTAAATTATGTCTACCATATTGTTTATAGGAGAGACACTCTTCATCTGGCCCCTCTGATGAGACCTGTCCTGTATGGTTGAACCTCTGGCATAGCTCTCACCCTCCTCGGAGCAAGTCCCACAACCACATCAAGGTAGTGCCTCACTGGGGGATTATTATTATTATTTTCCCCCTGTGGAGTTGCAAGACCACACTAACTTCTATGGACCAGCCAAATTACAGAAAGATTAGCAAAAATGATACACACATAAAATACACAGCAGCTTTAAACTGACATTCCAGGGAAATATCTGTTGTTCTCTTGTAGGGCTGTACAAAGAGCTACTTTACTCAAATTATTCAATTAACAGTTAGTTATCACCTTCATATGTTCCTATGGGCTTCTTTAAATGGTTCCAAACACTGTATTGGAAGGTGGCTCTTGGTACTGCTTACCTGCATGAGTAGCATTCATTAACCTCACTACAGCAAAGCACAACAAACACCATCAACAAACACAGTTTATTACTTTGCCAGTTCTGCCAACAATACAAACAATACAATTTAAATAAATGTACAAGCAGCTCATCAGCAAAACACAAGAGTCAATGCTCTTGTAAATGAGCAACCGAAACAATATAGATTTTTCATTTTCTTCAATGGACCCTGAACTCAGCAAGGCTCAAGAATATGTAGAGTGCATATACTGTACAGTGCAGTATTTCGAAACCCCAGCAACCTAGCCAGGGCAATCTTGTTTTCCCCATTCTCCACCATCTATCCCATTACGCTATTTTAATCTAAAACCCAAATGTAGTGTGCATTTGGACACTGAAATGGATGCAGGGATGTTGCTGCAGAAAACAGGCACTCTCTAGTTGCAGGTCCCTTCATAGCACTCTTGTTCCTTTTTCATTTTCTCATCAATAGCAGAGTCAGATCCAGAGTGGGACTTCAGAGTGCTCCCTTGCTTTTCCTGTCCCTCCCCTATTCCGCCAAGCCTCCAGATTGTTTTATCCACTCCTGATAATTGCAGCTGCTGTACTGCCCGAGTGAGATTAGAAAAAAAGTGGTAAGGTGCAAGACAATTATCCAAATTGCTCAGGGCAACTTGAAACAATGTTATGTTCCAAATGTTAGAATGGAACACCTGAAACAGACTAATTTGTACTCAAATTACATCCATAATAATAATGTATCTGACTCC